GTGTGTGTGTGTGGCATACCTTGGATGTACTGCTTCTTGGTGATTTGAAGTGGCTGCCTTGGCAGGGCCTGGAAGTTCTAGTTTAGGAGAAGACATATTGTGTAAGTCAGATGGAGTTAACTCTAGACCTGTAACAGTGTCTCATTATTCCGGGTCTCCCTGTTCCTCTAAGTTATTCTCTGAAGAACCCTGAATAAGATGATCTAACTATACCTATGAAGGAAAGGTCAGAGTGCACAGTACATCTACAGACACTTGGAGCATGCTTATTAAAGCTACAAAGAAGACACAAGGTAGACAAGTAGTGTCTTTAGTCTGCAGTACTTTTGATGTTATGTGTTTTTATGGAGTATGTCAGAAATCCTCCTTTCAAAGTGTTTAAAGGAAGAGTAAAAAGAGTCCAAATCAAAGTAGCAGACTTCCAAAAAGATTCCCAGACTTTTAGTTTCAAGTTTAGATTGAGCTACTATGAAATTGGATCCTACATTTTCCACAAAGCTAACTGGGAGCATATTTTGTTAGGTTATATTTTGCCAGTTATACTTTCCAACTGGTAATGGTTTGATTTTGGCTTTGATTTAATTGTTGTTTTTATGCTTTAGTGTTCCAATTTTCTGCCATGTTTGCCATGAGTCGTCTTTGACTGCATGTAGTATGTGTAATCTTGTAGGTTGTTTCTTGTTCTTGGTTTTACTTCCTGGTTGGTTGTCTTGATTAGCTTCACCTGTGTCTTGCTTGCCCCTAATTTAGACTCTTCTATTTATCTTCAGTATATAAACAGTCCTGCTTTATTCTTTGTCTTTATCTCGCTATCATTTGCGTCATCTGTTATGACTTTCCATGTTTATTACCTCTATGTGTTTTGAATTTTACAGCTTTTTGTTCATCTACAGTTACTTTTTCTGAACTGTGGGCATCAGTATCAATAATTCTTGCTTTTAGTTTTACTCTAAACTTTTGCTGTGTATTTGGGTCCTTGGGACTTTTTTTCTGTGACAAATGCATGTTGTAAAAAAAATGTATAGCCTAGGCTTGGTTTCTCAGATTTGGTTTCTCAGACTTCAAATATACCCACACCTTTAACGGATGCTTTACTTCAGGAAATTCATGGTTGCAGATGTCTTTATAGGGTTAGGGTTACATGTAGCTTCTCTGCTTTGCTTCTCAAACAAGTGTTACTTTTGCATCCTGTTGACACCGTGTTGTTAAAGACTAAGCCTGATATGTGTTCTGAATTTGGAGAGTTTAAAGTTATATGGATGTAAGGATTAATGTCACACTCACAATGATGTTAATGTGACTGGCTGACTGTTTTCATTAGCCCTCCAACTAAATGTTGACATTTTTTTGATGCTGCAGTGGAGAAAAGTTGAGCAATTAACCTGATGAAGGTCAGATGGCCTGAGATGTTGTAATTTATTAAATAAACCAGTAACAAGAAAAGTGGTGTCTGGAAGTTACATTTGATGACATTTCTAAAAACATTTGCATAATATTCATGTGCTGCATGTCCTGCTGTCTGGTTAATGTAGTGTTTAACCTTCTGGTCTCAATAGACGGGACAGCACGTACAAATCACAGGCTCGCTGACTTGTATCAAAAACGTGAACTTCAAACAACATAGCAGTTTTAATCCCAACAGTGCAGTTATGTGGATTTTATTAACAGTTTGATTAATGTGAGTTTTGTGCCATAAAACAAGATTGAAGCCAACAAAATAACCATGCTTATGCTAACTACACATCATTTTGTAAATGAAACACAAGCTTTTTAGAGATTTTATGATGTGAAAATTATAGCGTTAAACCATGTAAAACAATACATAACCAAAATCTGAATCATACTTACATGTTATATTTTAGATCATCTCAATATACATTTGGACTTTAGGTTTTTGCTTTACTTTAATACTGCATTTGCTAGCTTGGTGCTGCTCTCCTAGATTGTGGAGTAGGATTAGGGGTTTGCACATATGATGACTTTGGCCTCAGAGGGTTAAACCTAGATTTGCTTCCAGGACGCCTAACCTGCACCAACAAAACACAAAAAATTAAGCAACTTGTTGTAAATAACTAAAATATAAATTTGTAACTTTATGGTTGGGCAGGATGGAAAGCTGCACCAGGAGCCTGATATTGCAGTGAATGCAGGCGAGTCCTTGAGTGTCCTTGTCCTTCTCTGCACCACCTCATTTTTATTCCTATAATTCGATGACTTGCAGAAATCCTGCGTAGCATTTATATACTGCTGGCTGCTTTGTTTGGCTAAGATAACAAAAAAGCTGAACGCCAGCTTGACTCACCTGCCAACACTACAGAAGTTTTCAGAGACACATTTTAAAAGAGGAAGAGCCTGATTATCACTGGGCTCTTAGCCCACCCTGCATCCGCCCACTGACTAACATAAGACACCGTCAATACACACACACACACACACACACACACACTCACACACTCACACACACACACACACACACACAAAATTACACATATAGAGGAGCCTGAAGAAGGATGAAACAGGACAGGATGATTTCCCCAGCATGCATACATATAGTTTAATGGAGGGAGTAAAAAAGCAGGTTCAGACTCAGCACTGCCTTTTTAATCCCTGTTAATCCCACTGTACTCACCCTTTGAAATATACCTGCACAAACAGCACAGGGTCTGGGTGTGTATGTATGTGTGTGTGTGTGTGTGCGTACAAGTAGGGTGCTTGGATGTTAAAGGTTATTATCAAGGACGAGCAGGACTCATTGCACAGAAGCACATAAAAACATTCACACACAAGATAGGTTAACATGGAGAAGGAGGCACGCAAAGTAAAACACACTAACTGAAGCAAACGCATGTTTCCGGTCATGGTCAGAGTCAGTGTTCGATTTGACCCTGTAATGAGCGTGTGCGAATGTTAAACACAGAGAAAAAAAGCTGCTGCCTGCTCATGCCACTAATTAATTATTTAGTAGAGGTAAGGAGAGAGATGGGGGGAGGACTGCAGTGCCAGAGAGTGGGCAGTGGAAAGAATACATTAGAAGCTGGGCAGACACCAGTGACACACACACACACACACACACACAAACGCTACGAGATACGTGACCTGGAGTGTGTATTCGTGTTGGAGTGAATGGGAAAAGGTGCAAGTAATTAGAAACATGTGTCTGCTATGTGGGTACATTGTCCTGATGTGACATGCAGTGTGTCAGGTATGACTGCTCAGCTTTCCCATCAGACACTATTGCATAGTACCGTGATGGCAGCATAAATCACACACACAATAAAAATTACAGAAACTAGTGGAGATGCAAATTTTTTTTGAAGGTGCACTTAGAGTTTTTCTTCATTTTTCTGTTAGTGCAACACCTCATAAAGACAGCAAACAGACAGAAGATTTCCATATGAATGCAAATGTAAAGGCTGCTTTTCTACTTAATTCTGTCAGTTTATTCTATGCTTTGAAGAGCTTTTCTAACATCAAACACACACAAATGCTCCAATGGATGCTTCGGGGATAATCTAGGGTTCAAAATCTTGCCCAAGGACACTTTAACAACCACAGTAGAGGAGTTAAAGATCAAAACGCCGCCCTTCTGACTGGTGGATGACTGGCTCTATCTCCTGAGCCACAGCCATCCTTGATAATTCGCACCTGTTGTGTCACATTTATCGATAACAGCTTTTCTCGCTGTTGTCATTTTGTCAAAAGAAATGCTGCTTTTTTGTACAATCAAATCGACTGGATGGTCTTGAAGAGCAAGTTAAACCTGAGCCTGTTAAAGAGGTGATAGAAAAACAGAAGAAAGCAAAGACAAAAGAGAAAATCAAAGAGATAGAAAAGGCAGGAAAAAGAGCGGGGCGGAGATCAGGAGATAAAAGGCAGATAAAAGAGAAAAAGACGAACAGAGACAGAGAGAATCAAAGAATTTCAGAGCCGAGGTGCAGGAAGGCTATAGTACATGCGTCACTGCAGCTGAAGAGAGCGCATGAATGAGAAATTGTAAAATATAAAAGAGTCCAGGTCAGCTTCGTCTGCTCACTGCTGACTGTACAGTTTGGAAGAGATGCTCAAACGTATTTATAGACAGTCACCTTCCCCAGCTCTGGTCAGTACATATCATCCATCAATACACACATACACTTTATGCACAGTTACGCTTGAAACACGTAACATAATCATAACGTATAAATAACAATGCACCTGTTATTAAACACAGATGCTGCAATTACCTAAGTACATTCATGTGTGCCAAAGAAATTGATTAAACATTTTACGACAGGCTGAAGAAATGTTGCTCTGTATTCGACTTGATGGGAGAGCAACTCCCGCTGATGGCATCACCTAATGGAGAAAAGCTTTCACTGCATCTGGCTACTTAAATATAACTTAGAATGTGAATACAGACACACACCTGCTCTGCATGTGGTCTAAGTCATTATCGCCCTTACTGTGTCACGAGGGATGGAGATGCAGTTCATTAGCAGACGCTGTAGGAGTCAGACTGAGAGGGCGCGCTCTCGCACCTTCCTTCTGATGTATTCTGCCTTCAGATTGTTTATAATTCACAGCTGAAGCACAGGCGTGCAGCAGCACAGCCACAACAGGTATACAACAACAAGGTCATGTATGTACATTTAAATGCACAGACACACAAACACAGCGGAGACACATTAGCGTTGGCACAGGAAGGGCTGTGTTAAAAAAGTGGCTGTGTCGGTTCCTTTCCTCATCACATCACTGTGTGTGAATTATACAGAACTGACACACATACTACTGCTGCACACCTACAACACACACATTAAATATTCTGGTTTGTTGGTCTCACACACGCATATACACACTTGTAGGAAATAAATCTGTACTATCAACTCCCAAACAGACCAACACGCTTTGCTGTGTTTTCCCTCCTGGGCTCATTGACTATGATTGAGCCACTTAATCATACAGATGTTTGTATTTTTGAGTTGTCTTCCCACCACTGGCACTGCGCACAACATCATTTTTAATTCAACATTACAACCCAGACTTGGTATTCTTCATTTCCTCCTCATGTCTTAAGCTGGAATGGGTAAATGAGTATGAA